GTCCGTCCACATCACACAAAGCAGAGGACGGCGTGAGGTGTCCGTCACACTAGCCACGTCCGTCCACATCACACAAAGCAGAGGACGGCGTGAGGTGTCCGTCACACTAGCCACGTCCATCCACATCACACAAAGCAGAGGACGGCGTGAGGTGTCCGTCACACTAGCCACACCCATCCACATCACACAAAGCAGAGGACGGCGTGAGGTCTCCATCAGACCAGCCACGTCCGTCCATAAAAGGGCCTCTGTAAATGAGAGGTGCTGCAAACGACCAGGTCACACGAGAGAGGGAGGTACACCTCTTCACGCGTTCGGTCACTTGCGGCTCTGTGCGACTGCGGCTCAACCACCTGAAGCTCACCTGTGGCACCTGAAGCGTTGGTGTGCTGCCGTGCCGAATAAAACATGCTGGCAGAACTTTCCAGAAACTAGATAAAGAGAGGAACTCAACGTTACATTAAATTCATAAGTGGGATCACTTGTGTTAAATGCAGACAGGACGATTGGCCTGCGTCATCAAACTACATGACTGTTCTTACCTGGGCTATTCTGGTTTTCTTCTGCTGAAACTGACACAGCCTTAGTATCCTGGCTCCTGATTGGTCACTGAATTGTTGGTGGAAGGGGTGGAGCAGTTGAACGGTCTCCCCAAAGCTGGAAGGAAAGGCGACCTTTAGCAGCTCGGAGGATCTCAGCCAGGGTCTGAAGCGACCTTGCGGTGGATCTTAAAGACTCACCTGCACACGGACACCTGTCCCGCCTCCAGCAGCGTGAGGGCGCCAACGATCACAGACAAGGACTCAAAAGCCAGCTGCTCGACACGGGGGAGAGGAACCCAAGGGGTTAGCTGAAGAAGGCCATTCCACCAACATTCAACTTTGTTGCATAAAAACACCTCAGATTCTCACAGACTGACCACTCCTGAGAAATGGTAACCCAATGCCAAGGCAACGAGACACCCAGTGACTTCTCCACCCACAGGTTCTGCCTCGTTTCCGTTTAAAGTCGGACTACCTGCTTCGAGTGGTTGTCTATCATACTGGAGGAGTCGTCCATGGCCAAGCAGATCTGGTATTCCCTCTTGCTGGGCTTCGTCCTCCTCAGCCAGATTTTATCCTTGCGGAACTGGCTGGCGATGTAGGGGATCACCTTTCGCATGTTCAGCCGCTTGCCGGTGCGGAAATCACCCCTGCCACCGAAAAAGGAAGTGTTACCGCAAGGGGCGGCTCGGCCCCCGTCCTGGGGCCCCCCTGTCCCGGGGCCCCCCACGTCCCAGGGCCCCACGTCCCAGCACCGGCACTCACTTGAGTTTGGCGGCCTGCGTAGGTTCCAGAATGAGTCGGAGCTGCTCGCACAGCTGCTGGGAGAGTGGGCCCGTTAGCAGCTGGTACTGCTGCCACATGGCCATGCCAGCGCCCTCCTGAGGTGGGGGCAGGAAGACAGGAGGTCGTCAACAAATCTGACAAGGCGGATCTCAATTACACACCTAACTACTCGGACAGGTTCAGTACTATCAACCACACAGGGCAGCAGGCGGTCGGTGTTTCAGAAGCTTCTCTGGGCCTCAGGGTGGAGGCCAGAGAATCACCGTGTACAGTGATCGACAGTGTAATGGGATCTTATGGGATCCCGTGGGAGATCTTCCAGGCCCCTGGTGGGATCCCGATCCCGCCCATTGCGCCAGGTGGGGTTACCTCCTCCGGAGTCGCAGGACTCTGCTTCTGCCAGGCCTCCAGCTGCTGCTCCAGCTCCCTCCGCAGCACCTCAGGATCTCTGACCGGCAGCTGGGGGAGACACAGACAGACAGACAGTTAGACGGACAGACAGACAGACATGATCCTGGTTAACAGAACAGAGGACAGAAGTACTTTCTAGAAGCACACAAAGCAGAGGGCTCTTCTGGTGGGTTCTTGAAGGCTGTATGAACCTCTGTGATGGAGGTGCTGCATGCCTGCATGGTGACGTTAGGGCTGAGCTTCATGATGAGCTTTCACAGCCCAGGTACCTGCAAGGTGTCCGTTAGCAGCTCCGGGACAGTGTGGATGGTGGACTCGGAGCTTCTCTCTGGACGTTTCTCGTCTTCATCATCCCCGGTGTCCTCCGACCGTTTTTCATCCTCCTCATCATCGCGCTGTCTCTGAGCTTCTACATTCCCGTTTTCCACACCTGGAAACACAAGATCTCCTCACTCCTGTGACCCGTGTCACTCTGCATTCCCGCCTCCTGTCAGAGCCGCCGCAGGTACCTTTCTGTGACGTTCTGGTCGAATCCAGCTTTTCTGGCTTTAGTTCCTCGGAATCGATGAGCTGCAGGTCCTCCTGCTGCTCCTCCAGCTCCATGCCGACATCCTCCTCCTCCTCCTCCTCGTGCTCCTCTTTCGACTGGGATCCGGCTGGTTTCTGCTGGTCAGCACTGGCCACATCTGCCAAGGGTAGAAACAACTGATAAGAATCCCACAGTTGCTTCTGAAAGATTTCAAGACTTCAAGACTCTCAACGTGTTGACAGGCTCATCAGGACCCTGTACTGGATAAACTGGGAGGTTGCTTAACAGTCAATGATCCAAACTGGCTTATAATTTTCAGTTATTTATTATCCGTGCATGAGGATTTCTGAGTGTCGGGCTCGGTACCGTAGGTCTGGGCATCATGGTTCTGCTCCCCCTCCTTGATGTGCTGGTACAGGTCCGACTCCTGCTGAGCCTGGTTCTGGGCCCGGTCCTGTTCCCTGTCCTCTCTGCTGTCCACTGTCCGCAGGCGCTTGTTGACCCGGTCGCTGTCGTCGCCCATGGATCGCTCGTTGTCCGCCCGGCCCGGCTTCCTCTTGAAGCTCTGAAATAAGTCATAAACGCAGAACTCAGTCACGCCCACTGGGACGGCCTAGAACAGAGTGTCGGAACCCAGGCCTCGGAGACCCCCAGACAGTCCATGCTCTTGTTCCTTCCCAGCTACCTGCACACCTGTACCAGGTATTTGGCGTTCCTGATTGGCTGAGAGCTGGGAGAGAGCAAAAACGTGGACTGTCCGGTTGCGGGGTTCCGGAGGACTGGCTTCAGAAACACTGGCCTAGAAGACAGGAGATGGACAGCAAAGGAACTCTGGGGGGAATGAAGCGCCTGCCTGTGTTTGCTGCTGGGTCTGTTTCAGAGAGGAGAGCCGTGCCATGAGCCTGGACTCGTGTCCCTCCGCCTGGCTGGCGTCTGCTGCCCCCATCCCATGCTCCTGAAGGACAATGAAGGGAGAGAGAGCGCCCCCTTCAGGTCAGTGTCAGGAAACACATTTACGTTTATTTTATTTGGCAGGCGTTAAAAGCGAGGTAGGCAGACAGGTAGGCAGACAGGCAGGCAGACAGGCAGAGAGAATGACAGGCTAGCAGATGTAGACAGGCAGAGAGACGACAGACCGGCAGAGAGACACACAGACAGGCGAGAGACACACAGACAGGCAGAGACACACACAGACAGGCAGAGAGACAGACAGACAGGCAGAGAGACATACAGACAGGCAGAGAGACGACAGACCGGCAGAGAGACATACAGACAGGCAGAGAGACACACAGACAGGCAGAGACACACAGACAGGCAGAGACACACAGACAGGCAGAGACACACAGACAGGCAGAGAGACAGACAGACAGGCAGAGAGACAGACAGACAGGCAGAGAGACAGACGGGTGCAGCTGGTCTCTGCGCCTGCTGGCAGCCTTTCCCAGGCAGGTGTGGCTGAGTACCTCCTTGCTCTCATCCCTTTGGGAGGCCTCTCCTGCCAGCTCCATGGCAGTGTCACTCTGCATGTTCTCCTCCCCAGTCTGTCCATCAGCATGGTGCTCCTTTCTCTCTGCGGCCTCCGCATCTTTCTCATCCTCCTCTGCACCATCCTCTTCCTCCTGTGAGGGGAACGGACAGTTTAAAACCTCACAGCACAAAGTAATTTCCAAACCACCACTAGCATCACGTAAAACCTCTATAAGCTTTTGTGCAGTGCAGTAAAATGTGAAAGTTTGTCAAAATAAACATTTAATGAAAGAGAAATACTGTCACTGTCACTTGGCCGGGGGTTTCGGTTACGGGGGTGGGGGCTTGCGATTAAAGCAGACCTGGGGCTGCTGGCCCTGGCCTGCAGGGACGGCCTTGTCCTCCTCTTTCCCCTCCTCTTGTCCCTGGTCTTTCTCCTTCTCCGCCTCTTCCTCAGCAGTTTCACCGGCGTCAGGCTCTCTGTCGCCCTCTGCTGGCTCCGCATCCTCATCCCGCTCTTCAGCCGTGTCCTCCTCCTGGGTCGCCTCCCCTGCTTTCTCACCGTCTTGCTCCTCCTCTCCTTCTTCCCCCTCCCCCTGCTTTTCCTCCCCTCCCTCATCCTCCCCTTCTTTCTCCTCCACCTCCATCTCCATCTCGTCTATGTCAAACGGGTTTTCTGGACCAGGAAATAAAGAGATTTACACCCTTTCAGCTTCTCATACTGGGCTGGATTTCCAGAACTTGACAAATCAAATAGAAAACAGAAAGATAATATAAATTAAGGATGAACTTTTCACCGAGGGCCCCATCCTGCCCACTGGGGTGTTACTGATGCTGGGCCCCCCAGCTCCTTCCCGGTTCAGTATCTCCCACACCAGGCGGTCCCCCCCCACTCCCTAAACATCCTCCTCTCCTTGGCTCCGCCCCTCACCTTCGCCGTCCGGCTCGTCCCCAGCCTGCTCGTCCTCCCGGTCCAGGTTCATGTCCTCAGGCAGCTCCATGGCTTCCGCCTCCGCCTTCTTCTCCTGGTTGCCATGGTAGGGATCCACCTCGTTCTCGTCGAACTCCCGCTGTGTCACGGAGAAGATGAAGATGCCATCAGTGCCCCGGGGTCCCGCCACAGCTCAGCGACACGTGGCTCACGCACCCTTTGATGGATACACGCAGATGCGTATAATTTGGATTTAAAAAGATCAGGGGTAGATGTTGGATACCTCATCTATTTGCTCATGGATCTCCTCTTTTCTGTCATCGGCGTCATCCTGGTTCTCATCTTTGTTTTGCTTCTTCTTGTCATCTTTGTTAGGGTCCCCAGCATCCAGATTATCATCCTTGGCCACCAGCTGTGATTCTCCCTGCAACGGCACAGACCTTCAGAGTCAAGGCGCCTGCGCAGAGCCGTCCTGCCGTCACCCTGGCCCATCCAAGGCATGCAGGAACGTGATACCTAGCTCATATTCCGCATATCTAGCTCAGGGTTCCTAGAAAGCATACGTACCTGGTCCATTCCCGGGCCGGACTCTTCCTCCTTGTCGCTGGCGTCTAGGTCGTCGTCATCCTCGTCATCCCCCCACATCCTCTCATCTAGGGTGTCCGCCTGGCCTTCTCCAAGGTCCCCCATCTTCTTGTCCAGCTCCTCCTCGTCCTCTTTGTCGGACGTGTCGTCGTCCTCCCCTGTGACATCATAGACAAAGTCCAGGTTGCCGGGTAACCGTCTCTGATGACATGGCACTGCCTGCTCCGAACACGGCGCTGTTTCCGATACAGACCAGGCTCTCCGTCGTGCATCTTCCCGTCAAAGTCCTCTGACATCTCTATAGCATTGTCCTCCTCTTTAATGTCCCCCTTGGCCTGTTCTTCCTCCTCCTCCTTCTCCTGTCCTTCCTGGAAGGTGTCCTCTACCTATTTCAGACATTTTTTTTTTTTTAGTTTTAAAAGGCACCAACGGACCACGGCATCCAGAAGATTCCAAGCCCCCCTCCCAGCAGTCCTTACCTGCTCCTCGTTCTCGATCTTGTCGCTGACGTCCTTGGTGCCCTCCCCTTCGCCGATGCCCCCGCCCTCATAGTCGTGGAATTCGGTGGCACCCTCACTGTCCCCTCCCCCCATCAGCTCCTGGGGCAGACAGAAGCCCTGGATCGCACGGCAGGGCACAGGGTTAGGGCAACTATACAATTAATAAACACTATACAGGAGGCTTGATTCTCCCTTTCAATTAAAAAAAAAAAACAAAAAAAACAAGCAATTTACAAAAAAAATATTGGAGACGAATGACAAATAAGCTGTTATTTACAAAAAGCAATGAATTTTTTTTCCTGCAAATGAAATTACGTAAACATTTCTTTTCAACATTTTTTAAATTCTTCAGCCCTCAAGGGTCTCCCTCAAGCTCCAGAAAACCTCAAAAGAAATTTCTAGTCTTTCACATGCAGTGAAATGCGTTATAGCGGAGCTCCAGGCTCAACAGAGGACATGCGCCTAGGGGGACATGACGTCAGACGGTGAACGATACTGATATTTATGCTTAATGTCCGCGGTCTCTGAGGTGAGCGTGGGCCGTGCCCGCATGCATACCTTCTGGGCCAGCTCCGTGAAGATGCCGGCCAGGACGCAGAGAAGCTTGGAGCTGCTCCTATGGGCTCCCAGGGCGACCGCCAGGTAGTGGCGTGTCACCTGCGAGTAGGTGTCCAGGAGGGGCTGCAGGCGGCCCAGCCTCTCGCACGCCTGGCTCAGCTCCTGCACGCAGACACATACGGGAAGATGGCAGAGATATCGTCACACAGACCGCAGGGGATGCGGAAGTGTGCACTGCGGACTGCAGGGGATGCGGAAGTGTGCACTGCGGACTGCAGGGGATGCAGAAGTGTGCACTGCGGACTGCAGGGGATGCAGAAGTGTGCACTGCGGACTGCAGNGAAGTGTGCACTGCGGACTGCAGGGGATGCAGAAGTGTGCACTGCGGACTGCAGGGGATGCAGAAGTGTGCACTGCGGACTGCAGAAGTGTGCACTGCGGACTGCAGAAGTGTGCACTGCGGACTGGAGCGGGATCCCGCCAGTGTTCGCCAGGTCCGGCGTGTCATTGTGTAACAGCAATGTGGGACAGCAGAAAGGGCTTCCGGAAAGGGCACGAAGGCCCGAATGCGTGACACTGTTACTGACGCATGCAAGACGGCTGGCACGGCACCTGGAGCTGAGAGGGAGAGCAGGCATCTCTCTGGGCACCAAGCCGCTCCAGCAGCTGACCCACCGACACGTTCACGTCCGGCAGTGAGAGGGACGACACCTCCACACTCAGGCCCTCCTCGAGAAGTTTGGTGAGGTGGCCAGTCTTCAGGAGATCCTCAGATGGGGCATCTTCACCCTCTGCAGCTCAAATCGGAAATGACAACTTGACCATCTGATGACAGGCCATCCTACGGGCTTCTTAGCGCCATGTCATTAGCATACAGGCTGCATGTGGAGAGGGGACTCATCTTCTGTTTTAACCTGGTTCTGGTACTCTGGGTGTTTCTCACCTGATCTGCTCTCCTGGACAGCCTCTGTGCTTTGCTGCTCTCTGTCCATCTCCTTCATCTTCAGCAGGCTCTGTACTGCACACAGCACCTTACTGATGACTTTCTCCATCTGGTCTGAGAACTCTAGTGAGAAGGGCTGCTGTTGGCCTGGAAGTGGAATGGAATGAGCAGCAGAGAGACGTGAGCTTCCTGCTGAAATACGGCACTATTTCCTGTGTGCATCAGAAACGCCTGTCTGTGTGAGCCCCCGCCCCCATCCGTGTGAGGCCCCACCCCTATATGAAGCCCCACCCCTGTGTGAAGCCCCACCCCTGTGGGTCAGTCTCTCACCTTGGTGAGTGAGGTCCAGACACGGTAGCTGCTCCTTCCAGGCAGTGAACTCTGTCAGGGCCGCCTCCACCTTGCCCCGCACATACTGCAGGCCACAGGCCAGGAGCGGCTGGGAGCAGCCATCTGGCGTGAAGAGCTGCTCCACCGGCGGCATGCGGGCCACCACCATCCGGAGCCGCTCCAGGACCACGCAGCACGCCTGAAACTGGGTCCTACAGAACCCAAGGAGAGGCCCGACTCAGCAAAGCCGCATAATGCACGGTTGTACCTTAATGCATGATTTTTATGTTTCCAAACTGAAAACGTATTTGTCAGAACTACTTTCCTCTGCCACTGATTAAACATTTCCAGTTAGTTTCCATTAATTTAAAATTGTTTTCTATGGCTGGAATTTTAAGTGAGGTCGTATTAAAGACTATAGTCTCGCATTGACTGCCATTCACCTGCTTGGCACCACCTGTGCAGTTAAAGGCATTCAATCAACACCCATCTGACCAATCAGATTTGAGAACTGTGGTCCCTCCGGTAACGGCGGCACGCTGACTCACCAGCTCTGCAGCTTTCCCACAATGCACTGCTGCACCAGTCCGTCCAGCTCCGCTTTCAGAGCTTTGGTGTCAGTCAGCATGCCTGTGACTGTCTGCATGGCCTGCGCCCAGACAGGGTCGCCCCTCCTCATCCGGCAGCCGGGGGGGCAGCTCTCCGCGTCTAAGGGCGAGGAGTACCTCAAGGGGGCGCTGTGCCGCACGCTGGAGCCCTCCCCCTGCGGCTCCTCGCCCTGCGGGGTCGTCTCGGGGCAGCACTGCAGGAGCAGGGCCAGCTGCTCCAGTGCGACGGTGCACTGCATGGCCAGAGAGTGAGCCCTGTCCACCCAGCCCCTCAGCGCGTCCTGGGGGGGCAAGGGGCCCCCGTCCCGTCCCGCCTGGGCCGCCGGCGACTGCACATCCCCCAGACATCCAATCAGCCGCCTGTGTGCCAGGGAGGAAGAATAACAGGGTTTCTGGATAAGATCTGACCAGGCTAGTTTGTGGTTAGTGGTTCCACGCTGGTTTGAAGGTGTAGTTTCGCTTGATCAATACTGATTTGTCCCAAACACACATTTAACAGCGACGTGTCAAAATCACATTGAAGATGATTTAAGACGTTTGTAGGACTGGACTTAGACGACATTAAAGGACCCGCAGAATCCCTGAATAAAAAGGCTGGCAGTAGTTCCTGCTCCCTCCATGACAGTGTCTGCAGAAAATTCTGACAGGGGGGGTAGTTATATTTTTGGAAGTGGTCACCACTTCTATGTTCCTGCTTAGAAAATAAAATAACCCATTTTTCGTTTTTATTATGACGGTGGGCAGCCGGCATTCCCTAGGGCCCGCCATGGCCCTACCCGGGGGGGGGCGCAGTACCTGAGGTGGACCCACTGCTCCGTGAGCTGAGCCAGACGGCGCCTCTGTTTGAGCAGCAGCCTGAAGAGGTGGCTGGAGAATCCGCGGCAGCGCTGGATGGCGCCCAGGCCGAGCTCCTGCACAGAGCGAGACGCGTCAGCGGCGCGGGGCGGGACGGGCATCCTCCGTGGGCACGCGGCGTGATGCCCAGACCGCCCACTCACCTTGGCGGCGCTGTGGAGGGCCGTCTGCAGGGCGTTCCGACGCGCCCACGAACGGTAGAAGTATTTCTGACAGCCTTCCCACGCGGACGACATCTCCGCAAACAGCCTGGGGAGAACATCAGACCCCCGAAGAGCCCGTCAGCCGGGACAGCCAGGAATCCCCAGCCAGATCTCAGCTCCCGATTCAGACGCGATTTAAAGCGTCAGCGTGACGAGACAAGCGGCCATATCGCAGCAGGACGCCTGCTGGACCGCCCCTCACCTCCGCTCCGCATCCGCGCTGCTCAGCACCGCAGACAGGGCGGCGCTCATCTCCAGCGGCTGCAGACACAGGACCTCTTCCTGGCCGGCAGTGCGCTCCCACGTCAGCCCTCTGCGGTACGACAGGCCTACAGGAACGACACCCAGCCAGAGTCAGCGCAGGGACTCCCGGCCTCTTCACGACTCTGCTCTCACGCCACGTACCGATGTTAGCCAGCATCTTGAAGAGGTCGGAGAGCGCCCTCTGCTTCTGCTGGAGGATGTGCTTCGCCTCCGTCTTCTGCTTCTCCTTCTCCGCCGACGGGTTCACAGAGAGGCTCTGCAGCTCCTGCACATGCCTGATGACCTCAGCTGGGGGTGAAGACGGTCGTTCATCAGGGGCTGAAAGACGGCTGCAGCCACGGCAACCTTCAGAACCGGCTTCTGTAGCGTAGGTGCTGCTGCTCTTGATTCCTTACCCGTGAACTGATCCAGATCTTCTGACAGCTCTGGCAGAGGGTTCTTCTCCAACATCTGCACGCACATCTTCCTCATCTTCCTGGTGAGGAGAGGCAGGCGTCCCTGCAGGGTCGAGGGGTCGAGGCCAGGCAGCACATCTTCAGAGTTGTCAACCTGATAGATAGAGACATTCCAAGTGTCATACTACAGACTAGGAGAGTCTGAAAAGGGGACCATCGACAAATTTTATGATTTTTTTAAACCTTACACATTCATGTGGAAGCTGTTATACTGGACAAATGAAAAAAATGTACCTGCAGTACCTGGCCCTTCCTGGAGAGGGCGCCCTTGAGAGCACTATGCATCCTAATGAGGGGCGTCTCTTCTGAGCTGGGGTCCACGCTGGGATCCAGACTGGCGTTGGTACCCCGCTGCACCAGCTCTGGGGTGCAGGGAGTGTTCAGGACGGCCTCAAACTTCTTCACAAACTTGAAAAGGGTCCTGGGTTCAGGAATTCACAGAGGGTGCAGTTACAGCAGGTAGGAGCGCCAACGACTCCGTCAGACACTGTGAAAACGCGCCTAGTGGAACGTACCGGTGTGTCTTCTCCACAGACTGCTTTATGGACCAGAAGCTGACGTCGTTCCACCTGGAAATTTTGACGAAGTCCTGGTGATGGTAACATGCATGGTTAAGAACGGCCCGGACGGCAAACAAAACTTTCCGGAAACATCCATGAAAAAAAAGTCCACCCACCTTGAGCTCCTTCTCAATAGGCTGCCGCAGCTGTGTGATTTTTGCCTGCACGCTCTCTGAGAACTGGCTGTAATACTTGTACAGATTCCAGAAGAGGCTGACCAGTGGAGCTGCAAGGGCAGATACATTAATATTTAGCTGTGGAATGTCAAAAGGCTACTTTCAAAGCACATGACTATCCTGGAGTGATGTTCTGTACATACAGGGGCGCAGAGGGAACCCTGAGCGACATCGCCCACCTTGAGTGTCCTGTGCAGGGGCCACCAGCAGGTGGCAGTGGAAGGTGAGCAGCATGATCAGGCGTGTGTGGAATTCTCCCAGCGTGGAGCCCTCTATGAAGGCCTGAAGCGTGGAGGACATGGACGAGATGGACAGGCTCTCTACATCGCCTCCTGCTGGGGGGGAGAAGAACAGCAGTCTGAAAAATGGGTCTCGATCTTATAGGACTTTGGGTTTGTGTTCTACTGGCATGTCACACTTTTTGAATTGGGGGAGACCTTTGAATCAGGTGTATGTTCATGACACCTACTCATCATTACCCTAATCTGGGTAGTCAATGAAGACCTCAGGGGGACCAAGATCATTTCTGGTCACACTGACACACACGGTCAGAGGGGCCCTTGCCTGTTGCGGTGTCGGATCCGTGCTCCTGCAGATGCTTCTCCGTCAGCTGGTAGATGGAGAACCAGTGCTTCGTGGACTTCTCCGCGTGACGCTGCAGGGCGTTGTCCAGGCTGCTGGACCAGCAGCTGAGGGAGCCAAGGTGACAGCCATCGTTCAAACGGGAAACTCAACGACCCCCCCGATATGAAAGGTCCAAGAATCCAGTTCTAATCCAGCCCAACTATCTACCTTTATTCACACATTAAATCAGATTCAATAACGCTTTTACATTCACTGCACCTTCATAATGCATTCATAGAACATTCATAAGCAGCAAGAATACCTTAAGATCCAAACATATCTTAACAGCTTTAATATATATTATTAAACATGACAATAACAAACATTATAATTGTATAATCATATAATGTTTCTTATGAATGTATATTAAAGGTGTTAAGGTACGTTAGGATGTTAAGGTGCGTTAGGATGTTAAGGTGTACTTATATGCTGCTTATGAATGTTCTATGAATGCATTACGAAGGTGCACTGAATGTAAGGAGTCACCTGACTCTCGCTATACCGCCCCCTGAGCCCCACAGGATTTCCCATCATGCCCTGCTTCCAGTCTTACTTCAGCTCCAGCTTGCGCCACTGAATGATTAGCTGGGTGACGGCCCCTAGCTCTGCCCCGAGCGACACGGTGCGGCTGGCGTTGTCCTCCCAGTCCTGAGGGGCGGTAAGACACAGGGCACACTTGAGGACAGCTCCACAGCGCCCCCTAGCGCCACAGCCTGATTCTGCACTCTGGACTCACACACTCCTGTCTGTACACGGTTAGCATCCCCGCAGCGGCCAATGGGGCCCGGCCTGCCGACCCCCGCAGCGGCCAATGGGGCCCGGCCTGCCGACCCCGCAGCGGCCAATGGGGCCCGGCCTGCCGACCCCGCAGCGGCCAATGGGGCCCGGCCTGCCGACCCCGCAGCGGCCAATGGGGCCCGGCCTGCCGACCCCGCAGCGGCCAATGGGGCCCGGCCTGCCGACCCCGCAGCGGCCAATGGGGCCCGGCCTGTCGACCCCGCCAACGCCACAGCAGTCTGTTACGCGACGCCTCACCTGGGCTTTACGCAGCAGGATCTCCAGCCCGCTGAGGAACTTGGCCAGAGGACTGGACAGACCGAAGGCCAGGATTCGCTCGATTACCACCATTAGCTGGATCAGGCAGAGATCAAAGACAGCTTAATTTCACAAGCGCACAACGTTGTACACTTGTCACCGCTCTATACACAGAAGTCCGGTTTCAGTAAGAGACCCACTGAGGGTAAAACTCAAGCCAGTGATTTCTGTCACCATAAAAATGTATCTTCCTACATATCCCAGCATGCACTTTGCCGTACCTGCATGAGGGCGGGGTGTTCTGGCCACTCCTCCAGTCGCTGTCGGACTGCTGCGGCCACCTGCTCCAGGACCGGTAAGCACTGGCGCACTTCGCTCATGTTGGGGTGCTGGTAGAAATCGTAAGGCCCGTCGGTGTGCAGACAGGGGGCGCCCTCCCCACCGGAGCCCCGCACCGTGTTCTGGAGGAGGGTGCTGAGGAGGAGCTGAGAACCAACAAGCTTCTGGTCCATCTCAGAGTCTGTGAGGAAGCAGACATGGTAAGTCCGTCTATAACCACAAAGGCATTGAAGGTCTTACGTATTTAATTTATTTCTGTATAGAGCTTCTCCCTCCAAAAACATGCAAAAAAATATACAAGTACAAGTGAAAAATGTATATAACTCAAAGAATGAGTGTGAAAAAAGGCAAGAGGGGCAAGGAGGAGAAGCAGGAAGTGGACAGGCAGGCACAGGAAGTCGAACTCCCGGAAGACCATGTGCATTATCATCCACAATTATTTGACACCAGTCAGTTTGTGCTGCTGGTTTAGTGATACACATCTGCAGCAATATAAATTAATTTTAAAAATTCAAAGCAATATTATCCATGTAATACGTGCAACCCACCCATTAGGTGATAGAAGTGTGAAATCACAGGCGCTGAAATCCGATAGGCCGATATCAGAGCGCCGATGTGTTCTTCGGCGTGATTGGTCGTCGGGGATCTGCCCCGGTACCAGAGCGACTGGGAGAAGCCGAGACAGAGCCGCTGGTGCACTCGCACGACGGCGCGCATGCAGGCCTCCGAGATGGGGGCAGGCTCGCCGGGCTGGGGGGGGGCAGCCCCCATGTGACCCACATCCCCCTCCGGCTCCTCCAGCCTAGGCTCCGAGACGATGTCAGCAAAGTCCTGGGGGTAGGAGTGGCGGGACGGCAGCTTTAGTGGGAGCAGGGGGGCCCCATGAGACACCAGACCAGCCTCCGAGGAAGATGCGGGGGGGTAGGGGGGTCTGCCGTGTCCAAAACGGCCACAGTTACTGTTATCGTGCTGCTAAGCTTTTCAGTTTGTCCATAACATAGACATATGTGCGGCTCTATGCCTTCTCATGACCAGAAGGTCGCCGGTTCGAACCCCAAGGTCACAGAGCGATGTCACCATTGGGCCCTTAACTCCCGACCCCTGATGGACTGTGTGAGCCCGCTTCTCAAATCTCCCTGGGTAACGATGGTTTTACGTTACAATAAGCGAAAATGCATTTTAAGACAGTACATCTAACCTAACAAACATCACAGCCTAGCCTAGCCTAGCCTAGCCTACCTTAAACATGCTTAGAAGTCAAAATATCATAAGATGGAGCATCGTAAGGCAGGGAGTGTCTGTTCATCACTCTGCATAAAAGTGTGGCTAAATAAAAGCGATATAAGAGAGCGGACTGGCGGCATGTGGCCCGAACCGCCAAGACAGATGGCAGCTGGGATATCTGTGTGGCCTATTAAATATGATGTATTACACCCAGGGTGGGTTTATCGCGACCCCCCCACTGCCCCGCGTGGCGCCGCCGTCACCTGGTCGTACTGCGGGAACGCGCCCCGGAAGTCTCTCTCCTCCTGCTGCTCCTCGCTCAGGCCCGTGCCGTGCAGCCGGCTGCGGTACAGGCTGTCCTCCTCCTGCTCCCTCTCCCTCCTGCGTCGCTCCTGCTCGTCCCACTCGTTCACCAGCGCCTGTGGGGGGGGTCCCCTCCCATGGTGATAACTTTCACGCTCACATAACAAACATAACAATGTAGATGACGTGCACTCCGAGTTCACGCTGGGAAAACAGGGCGCTGATCAGCAACAATCAGGGCGGAGTCTGACAAGGAATGAGACAGTCCAGCCCATTTCAGGGTGTACGCACGCACACGCACACACACGCGCACACACACACGCACGCACACGCACACATACGCACGCACACATACGCACGCACGCGCACGCACGCACTACCAATCAAAAGTTTGGGGTACCTTAGAAATTTCCATGCTTTTGGAAAAAAAGTTTTTGTCCATTTAAATAACATCAGATTGATCATAAATACTGTGTAGACATTGTTAACGCTGTAAATGAGCATCATGGCTGGAAATGGCTGTTTTTAATGGAATATCTACATATGTGTACAGAGGCCCATTATCAGCAGAAATTAGTCCGGTGTTCCAGTGGAATGTTGTGTTTGCTAATGCAAGTTTATCATTTGAAAAGGTTAACCGATCATCAGAAACCCTTTTATAATTATGTTAGCACAGATGAATATTGTTCTGCTGACTAAAGAAGCAATAAAACTGGCCTCCTTTGGACTAGTTGAGTATCTGGAGCATCAGCAATTGTGGGTGTGATTACAAAATGGTCAGAAACTTTCTTCTGAAACTCGTCAGTCTCACTCTCAATCACTCTCTCGGGCAAATTTAAAGACATCGATCCACTTAAAATGCATCTTTGAGCTTGGGCTTAATTCCACGTGGACCTGGAGAAACCCCAGTCATTCCGCCCTCTCCGTGTGCCGTACGGATGCCCACACTGTGCCTGGCACTCCGCCCGGCCCGCACGCTTACCTGGCAGACGTGCCGGAGGAGGCAGCAGGCGGTGGGGTCCAGCCGGCCGGCGGCGAGGACATGGCTCTGCACGGAAAGCAGGGCGCTGAGCAGCAGGCCGGCCGGCTGCGGCAGGCCGGCCTCGGGGGCCTCCGTCTCGGGCAGCCGCCTGGCCAGGGCCCGCAGGACGTCCAGGCAGGACCGGGAGCAGAGGCGGTCCGCGCGGGCCAGGTACGAGGGGAGGTCAGGGGACGGCGAGGGGAGGGCCAGCAGGCAGGAGAGAAGGCCGGCCAGGCCGGGGGCGCGCGCCGACGAGGCCGACAGCTCTGACGCCACCAGCCGCATGCCGTGCTGTAGCTGCAGGATGCCGGCCCGTAGGGGGCGCACCACGTCCGGGTACAGCGGGTACTCAGCCAGCAGCCTCTGCAGGAAGCTCTGCTGTGAGGCCTGCCACACCTGCTCCTCTCTCAGCAGCCCCGGCTGGGCCCCGGGCCCCTGCAGGGCCTCCAGCAGCCGGCCTAGCAGGGCCTGGATGGCGGCAGGCCGCCCGATACTGCCCAGGTAGTGCTGCAGCTCCTGGTGCAGCCGGCCGTACTGCGACTCGCCGGGACGGAAGGCCTGCTTGCGGGACAGCTCGCTGATCTGCTCCTTCACCCTCTGCATGCGGATCCAAAGGTACCTGAAATCACGGAGACTGGCATCGTTAGTCACCGCCGCCGGGGACTGTGACTCCGGGAGTCCGGACGGCCTACAGACTGGCGCGGGGGGGGGCGACACGCACCGGACGCGGGGGTGCTGGAAGCAGTCGGTGGCGCTGCTCTCTTCCAGTTCGGCCCCAGTGAGCAGCTGAGAAGACAGGCTGCGGGCCTTCCATTCCTCCTCCAGCAGCGCGAGCTGAGGCACAGGGGAGAGAGTCAGTCAGGAGTCACAGCAAAGCAAGACTCAAAGGGATTCTGACTTATACAAGAGCAGGCTTGGCTGCAGAGAGAAAGCAGAACAAATGACGGGCAGAGTAGGGATTTGTTTGGCCTGGATTCCGTTGGTTTTTTATAAAAGTTTTCTCCAATCGCTGGACCCAATATTCTATATATATAATTCTCCAATTACTAAGCCCAATATTCTTTTTTAAGGTGGTAATTCTCTAATTACTAAGCACAATATTCCTTTTTAAGGTGGTAATTCTCCAATTACTAAAACCAAGATTCATGCTGGTAGTTCTCCAGTTACTGGGCCCAATTCTTAAGGTGGTACGTCTCCACTGGCCAGACCCATTTCTCTGTGTCTCTTTTCTGTGATGCAGTGCTGCCATTTTACTGCACACCTCATCTTTCTTGGGGCATGGGCCCCTCGGATGCACCCCCCCAGCAGATGGCAGTGACATGCCACCCCCCCCCCCAGCTGGCAGTGACATGGCACCCACCTCCTCCTGGCCGTAGCGGAGTTTGTAAGCCCGCTTCAGCGCCGGGTCGAAGATGGTCTGGGGCATCCACAGCTGGATCTGCAGCAAGCCCATACTGACCCAGAACACGCCGGACCGGGCCAGCTGCACTGGCTCCTTGCCGCAGTTCTGCGCATATTCCTGCAGGCAGGTCGCTGCCGTGGCAACAAAGCCCTCGGGCAGGGTGTGTGCCGGCGCCACCTGCAGTGAGGCCAGTACTTCCTGTGCGGCTCCTACAGGCTCCACCCCCTCAGTCAGGAGCTCACAGTGCTCTGTGTAGACCTCCTGGACACCAGGGGGCAGTATCTCTGTCAGCGACTGCAGTAACCGGCGCAGCACCAAGCCCTGCAGCCTGTGGTCTGCGCTCCTGTCAGAGGGAGGGGCAGCGTCAGTGACTGCACCATTTAAACCTTTATTCTAAGCTGTCTGGTGCCAGCGGGCCGCTTACCTGAAGCTCGTCTGCGCAGTCAGGCCCATGTTGTCCCACAGCAAGGCGCTGAGCTCCTGTAGCTGCACCATCCTCTCCCTCCACTCCCCCAGGCTGACCCGGGAGGAGGAGAGCAGGGAGCAGCCTGAGGCGTCCCAGGCTGCCCCCGCCTCAGTGCCGGTCAGGACCCCCTGCACGCACCGGGACCACACAGCCCGACCCAGCATCGCCGGGCCCTGGAAGATGGCCAGACGTCAACATTGTTTTGCTCCCATGCATGTCAAATAACTATATAGTAATAGAAACAGGAAGCGCACACACACACGCACACACACACACACACACACACACGCACACACACACGCACAACGTGACACACACCGTGTCTGCAGAACTCAATAGTGTCTTCTTGATCTTCTGCTCTTCTGGACGAAGGGGATTCCAATCCAGCCAGCGCTCAGGGTCAGAGGTCACGCTGCTAGTCCAGCAGGCATCCAGAGTCTCAGACAGCAGCTCGCAGAACACAAACTGCAGCTCCTCCCCTGGCTGGGAGGACACATTACAGCTTAGTGGAAGCTTAAAGCTGAGTCACACAAAATTATACAAGTGAAACTGATCGAATGGCTGAGTAAGCCGACTGCGGGACGGCAGAGGGGTCCAGCGACTGACCCGTTCACAGTTGGCGAGGGCCCAGAGGGGAGCGAGCCGTCTGGCGTCGGTGGTGGCAGACTGCAGGCAGAAACGCTGGTGGTGGCTGAAGCGCTGAGACAAACTGCCCACCGAGTCCTTCATACTGAGAAGCAAGAGCAGTAAACAAGCAGGGTCAGCGCAGCACATGCGAGATACAGTCACGGTGGGCAGGGGGCACGGAGGACGGGGCACGGACCGTCAGTGCCGTGTCGGTACGATGCAGGACAGACAGACACAATGGGCAAAGTAGAAATGTCAATCAGTTTAACCACAAGCTTTCAAAATGCAGGAGAAAAACCAGAGTACCCAGAATTCCATGCTACATAGGCAAAACGGTTAAATTCCACATAGAGTGGGAGGGATGGAGATCAAACACTCCCACAGTGAAGGTGTGAAGAGACACATTGATACCCACTGAGACACCATGGCACCCTGTATATACAGGCAGCTCTCTGTCGTCGATCTGGACTTACACCCTACTGGAGATACACATACCCTGAACGTTTGCGGGGTAAATCTGCCTCACATAAGGGTGATGCCCCACCCAAACCCCACCCACCCACAGAAGCCCCACCCTACCCACCCCCC